GGGGAGGACCAGGGAGGATGATTCAACCACTAGATGTCGCTGAAAACAACAAATCCTACACACTGTGCCTTTAATTGTGAGGACGGTTCTGTGTGATATGAGCCTGAATAAGCTCCAATCAGCTGGTACAGGGTCAAAAGGTTACAGAAATGCAACTGATGTAGTGATTCCAAGTGTAAAAAAAAAAAAAACATTTATTAAGTTGCTATTTTTAGCAATGAGTACTTTGGGTAATACTAGAAATGACCATCACCCTTGATGAATGAGTTGCTTTGTGCGTTACGAGCATCTTATCCATCACAAAGGTCTGAATAGAAGCCTGGCACTCTCACACTTCCTGCTCCACTTTTGGTCAAAACCACTGGGTCAACCCACTTCCCTGTATTCTTCTGTCAACTCTGGGAAAAAGCTTTAATATCCTTCCTGTGACTAAGATGCTGGCTGACGGGGCTCTGTGAAAAGCCATCCTCGCAGCCGACGGCATCGCGTYGCATCTCCTTCACCACGGCGTGAACTCTCGTCCCGTCGGTTTGCGTCTCAGAACTCTGTTGTTTCGCTGCAAAGAAGAAACAAAAACTCGCTTCCTGCACAGTTTGTTGAGTTGATATCTGGCCGTTTTGTTTGTTTAGGTGGACTCTCTGAAGAGACGGTGATTGTTTTTGTGGTCAGGGAGGTCGTCGCTGCCAGCTTTGTGCCTCACAGTCCATCGGGTGGAAGATTTGACAGCTATGTCAACACCATTCAGCATCACCCGCAGTGACAGCAGCAGCTGCATTGTTTGACCCTTCCACTATTTATATGATGCAACAATAAGATTGGAAATCGCCTGTTTCTTCATCTCTGTATTGTTTCAAAGGTTTACACAGACAGATATCTAATCTGCATGTTAGAGGCTGAAATAATGATGTTTTCCTAAAAAAATGCCACTTATAAACTTTTAGAAACTTTCCCAGGGTTCTGATGCGCTTGGGTGGTTTGTTAAAATAAAGTCACAAGATAAAATAATAATGARTTTACATCTTCTCTTCGTGTTTGTGTGGATTTTCTCTGGGTACTCCGGTTTACCCCCCACAAAAAACGTACAATAGTTTGTCTTCAGACCGAGGCCTACCTTGCAAAAGAGATCTACAATCTCAATGGGACTTCCCTGGTAAAAACACAGTAAATAAATAAATAAAGATGTCTCCGATTAGTTGTAACATTAGACATTATTTTATAAAGATTTACTTCAACTATAAAAATGAAATCGTAAAAACACTGTAGGCTATTCAGCTTTTAGAAATTAAAAATATTATTGCCACAAAGTTGTTAGCAAATTATTTATGCCTCAAAGCATTATGGGTAGCCCTTTAGCCTTTGTGTTAATACGGCATTAGCTGCTGAGCTAATWTTATTGGCGTTACATTCTTTGCTAATGATATCAGTTCAGGAGCTAATGCCACATATATATCAGCAATATGTATATAAGTTTAGTTCCCAGGCTTATTAGGCCTTGAACAAATATTGTTAGCATTAACTCCTGAGCTATTAACATTAGCTTAGAAGTCAAGTCTCTCTCTCTATATATATATATATATAAAAGTGGCATTATCTCCTGAGCTAATAAGAGGTAGCTACTGGGCAAACATAATCATGTGCAATTAATCATCAAAAAAATAAATAATCGATTATTTTTTGTTACTTGACGATTAACATGATTAACGCCACCAGGCTTGGTGCTTCTCTCCGCTTCAAATATGACGAACAAAAAAAAAAGGTCTGTAATTTATTTATCTATCAATGTAGTTTAAAATTTGATGTACAGTATAGCCTGAAGTCTGGGATTTTGACACAATTTGGAATAAATTTTTACAAAGAGCAAATATTTCCCACTAAATTGGTCATTTGACTAGGACATAAGGGTGTCCAGGGACTCCAGGGGATTGATCGTCAAATTAATCGTTATCGGCTAAATACCACTATTAATTGTGATTTTTTTTGCCAATATTGCCCAACCCTAATATCAACCCCTTCAGACATTAATCTGTATAATGAGCCTCAAAAATTCTTTTTGTTCCCCAAAAATCCATACTACTCGCACCCAAACTTATTTCTAGTCTTATTTCTAGCGGCAGAACAGGTTAGAAGATGTTATTTGATGATATTCATTGTTTTTTTAAACATCCCACAGAATCAGACATGTTAAATAAATTTGAAACTGAGGATTTGAAAATATCCGTGAGATTGCTCCATCCGTCCGTACTGCAAAATGGTGAAAAAAATCCATGTAAATTATGGACAATCGGTAAAACTTGACATGTATTAAATATTATTAGCTTGCAAGTTAACGCCATATACATATATACTACATATATTTTATTAATGAGGTGTTAGCTCCTGAACTAATAAACATCACATTTGATTGTTTAATATAAAATATTTAAGTGGTGTTAGCCACTGAGCTAATATTAGCTTGGGTGCCAACACCACACCCAAAATTTAAATAATAAATGTGATACTAGCTCCCTAGCTACTATTGTTAGCTTTACCTCATGAGCTTTAGAAACTAGTACAAAATTTAAATTTATTTAGCTTTTTAGCTTCTACTCTGTTTTGTTCTCAACTGAGAACCATCATCATCATCTTCCCCAGAATATCAATGTGCTTACATGAAAAATTGTATAAACGCATAGAGTATTTTAAGTATTTATTTAGATGTTTTCACGTCCCAAACAGCATCTTTTAGTAAAACAGAGAAACGTGACAGTAATCTAAAATCCCTTTAAGAATTTTTGTTAACTAACTTGGTGAGAATCATTAAAAAATTAATCATAAAATAAAAAAAATAAGTCTAAAACACTGACACATAACAGCCTATATGCATTCCATGAAGGAATATTAGGCTTTTAATTTCAAAATGGTTTCAAAATGAAGGTGAAGCCTTTTTATTTAGTTTTCTGTCTGAGTAGTTCTGCAGGGCTAAATTTATACACTCAAACTCTAAAAGTTTCATCATCATCGTGTTTTAAATGTGGATTTGWCACAGAAGTAGTGAGGCCGTGTGTTGTTGGAAGAAATAAATTAATTTCATGCTCCTGCGATGAAGTGAAGTTTAAACAGATTAGAGAGATTCTGCAATCTCTCCTCCAACCCAGTGTGCATTAAAAAAATATCTTCAGAGATTATTCTTCAGCGATGTTTGCCAGAATTTCCTTGGAATGGTGATGAACAGGGATACACACGTTTACACGTCTGACACGATCTGTGAGATGAATTTTAAAAAGGGAAGGCAGACTGATTGTAATCGAGGACGGTTGGGATTCGAGGACGTTGTACTTGACTTTTAATGACACAAATCACACGAGATTGTTCTGAATAATAAGTAGATGGTCTGAATACTTGATATTTCTCTTTTATTGCTTCATAATAGCTTCACAATATTGTAAATAGTGTTAGTTTTCATTTTTTGTAAGGTACTGAGCAACATCAAACTGCAAGAACTGAATACAAGAGTGAGTCAAAAGTCTCAGGACATCCTTTTATTTCAGAAACAAAGAAGAAAATGAAATACTTGAATACGTCAGTAAGTTATGTGTGAGGTGTTGTAGTCGAGACCACCTAACCCAAGAACAAGTCAAGACTAAGACCACGGTGTCTCGAGACCAAGACAAAACCAAGACTTTTAGGGCCTGGACCAAGTCAAGACCAAGACCAGAAAAAAGCAAAACAAACCTAGTGTCAAAAGATAGAGTTATCTGTACACATGTAGCTAACTTAATATATAGAGCTAATATTGACAAAATCTTTGTGTGGGGCCACACAGCCGCTAACAAAAATACATAAACAGCAATGAGTCAGGTTTGGATTTGAATCAGTAGCCACAATTTAAATGCAATAAAAGCAAAAATGTTAACAAATAAATTGGACAATAATCTGGCTATTAAGTGATATTTCCACAGTTGTGGTCTTGACTGGTCTTGAAATAAAATTCAGAATCCTTATTGTCCGAGACAGAGACAAGACCGAGTACAAATGATGTTGAGTCCAAGATAAGACCAAGACCATCAAAAAATGGTCTTGAGACCTGTCTTACGACCAAGACCGTTCTCAAGTACTACAACACTAGTGGAGAAGGCCTATCTTTTAGGCTATATCCAGAATATGGCCGCCAACCAGCAAGACTGGATCAGTCAAATTTCTGTGCATCACCGGCAACCTTAGTTGTTGCAACTTTCTGTGTTGATAATGTTTGAACAAGAGATGTTGCAGATCTGATTGCAGCGATCCATTTCTGGTCTTCGTTAATACGCTGCATGACCACATTCCCACTGAAAATATTGGATTTTGATCCAATATGGCAGCTTTCAAGATGGCGGCCATGTTCTGGACAAAGCCTAAAAGATGGACCCCCTCACCCATTACCTACTGAGATATTCATATATGTAATTTCCCCTTGTTTCTGAAATGAAAAAGGTGTCCCAAAACTTTTGACTCACCCTGTTCTTTCTGAAGCCTCTGTATGTCTTTAAGTGTGCAAAGATTTTCAGAAACAACACAGACTTTGATTCTCAGCTTTACTTTTTTATTGAGACACATCTGCAGGAATTTAGATTTGTTCTGACCCAATATGCGGTAAAAAAAATGAAGCAGCTTCTGCTCCTTTGTTACATCTATTCTACATAAATAAAACAAAGCTTTGAACGCAGTGCACATCTTGTCTAGTTTAACCTCTGACTGAACATGTTGCATGTGAGAAACTCAACAGTAATGCGGCGTCATCGACGTGAAAATCCTTGTTAGCAATGAGGAAGTCCTGCGGCATTCCCAGCTTGAGTTTAATGTCGTTAAGTAACACTGGAGAGGCAACATGAATACAGTAGACAGCACAGACAGAGCATGACTATACAGTATGAGGTCTCAGTGTCATAATTTAACGTTTCTGCCATTCACTGAGAACCCATCTTTATGAGTAATTCTGTTATTTTACACTACAAAAGAGATGTATGGGGCTCAGGTATTAAACACTGGAAGTTCCAAGTTCCAAAATATACAAATCATAGCATTGCTTTGACTTTGGAAGATGTATTCCTTCCAGTGGTGAGTGTCCTTTCACGGAAACTAAACATCACATTCCCCGWAACTGTACAAAAGTTAAAATCTGGCTTCCGTCCAGGAGATCGTTCAGCACGACAAAAAAACATTTACCAGTGGCTTCCTCTGCGACTCTTATTTCCCACCAGTCAGGAGGTCGGTGGCTGACTTTGTGGATGCTTTGGTCTTGCGCTGATTCATTGCTCTGATGAGAATCTCAGAGGTCAGTAAGTCTGGGTCCAAGAGATTTCAAGGAATGCATTGCAGAASCATCCAACCGAGGCAAACAAACCCCCAACAATCCCTGGCAACTTTGATGGGAGGCTGCGYCATTTTAGAAAGTATCCGAGTTAGAAGCGCCAATGATGCTACTCCAAAAGCTACCGGTTGGCTTAGCATAAAGTCTGAACACAATGTGTTGGCTCTTCTCGACAATATATTACCACAACTGAGTTTGTTTTGTTCATTCCAAATAAATATTTTTCCAACTAMAATTCCAGAAAACTCCTTCTAACCCAATTCTATCATGTAAAGGGTTTGCAAATTTTAATTTCTATCCCAGCACTCATGACAAAAAGGTTCAACGCAGTGGCTGTAAATATTACAGTACAACATTACTGTTTAAAACTTTTGATTAAAGCCAACTGTTTTAGTTTAAATCTTTTGAAGTATGCAAGGGCTATGAACAAAAATCTCAACGTTATCGACGGCTCTTTGAACAATCTCGGTTTGGAAAAGTGGTTGAAGGCAAGTTCAGCGTAGATTGTTGCCGTCTTAACCCTCCTGYTACCCTTGGGTTAAAACGACCTACGAGGTCCATTTAAAAACTGAAGCCTTGTGAGTCATTTTAACCCAAAGGCAGTAAGGGGGCCATTCCAATGTTTCCTAGTACCTATGTTCACCAAATGCCCAGGTTATCCCTGGTACACCCATCCTATGTTCCCCCAGATCCCTGGCACAATGCCTGTAATTTAGATTTGTTAGTTATTTCTTTACTTTAAAAGACATTTGAAGTAGGGCCCAAGCATCTGCATGACTTTATTAACGTCGGAAGATAGGTACCAGGGAACATAAGTACTGGGAAACCTAGGTATCAGAGAGCATAGGTATGGAGGAACATAGACACAAGGAAATATATGTACCAAGGAACATGTATGTTGAGAGACAGAGCGGCCATACCACACTGAACACGCCAAATCTCATCTGATCTTGGAACCTAAGCAGGGTCTTGGATACTATTAGTACTTGGATGAGAGACCACCTGGGAATGCCAGGTGCTGTACCAATGAAGGAGTTGCGCCCACATTGGTCACATAGAAAATCTTTGACCATAAACATCAATAAAGGATGTCAAATTAGATCATAGGGAGCTTAGCTTTTGGGGAACATAGGTAATGGGGAATAAAGTACCATGGAAMATAGGTCTGGGCAGCAAGGGGGTTAAAACAACTTCAATCTAATGAATTTAATCATAGTCTGTGTAAATACTGTTTTATAACCCTTCACCATGGCATTGGTTTTGCATTAAATGGTTCTTTACATGAAATTTAATGGTTAGCAGCAAGCATACTACTTTCAGTGCAACCTATTGGGTACCGTTTAAAAATATGGGTATTTAACCAGGTAATTATCTTTTTTYAATGGAGGCTTGGGGCTAAAGGCATGTTTTTGGACTGTGGGAGAAAACCGGAGTCTCCGGAGAGACTCACGTGAACACAAGGAGAACATGCAAACTCCACTCAATCTGGGGCTTGAACCCTGGACCTTCTTGCTGTGAGGCAACAGTGCTAAMCACTAAATACACTAATGTAATAATGCAATTATTGACCTTTTTATGTAAACTATCAAGGAAGAACTTCATAACGTTTGCTGGTGTAAATGTGAAAATGAAGGCTTTGAAGAGGTTTAAAAAATAACGATTGTTTGAACTGTTAGGCTGTTTTTGATGGCAGTGTTCCCCTCTCAGATTAACTGTTTAGTCTCTCCAAACTGAGCTCCTTCAAAGAGCTCTCTCATTAATTGTTCATGTCCTTTTCACAGAACCACACTTCAAAAGATGTGAACTCTCTCTTTAGCTGCATGCAGACACAAGACTTGTATCATTGTTTCATGTTTTTCCTAAGATCTTTTATAAATTACCACATTAACAGTAAAAATATTCAATGTCGGTAAAACAATAAAATAACATTTACAATTCTTATCAAAACTGGTGCTGGGGGTTCAGTGTGCCACTCGGGATAATTCGACCAAAATAAAAAGTGCTCTGGACTTTGCTGTGGACTGTTAGGACTGAAAGAAGGGATCTGATCCTCGAGTCTGGTCTTTCTTTCTACCCGTTTTCATGTCCTAGGCCAGTAGATCGCTCCTCTTGCTGCACCAGACCACCAGCGCGATCATGGCCAAGGTGAGGAAAACGGGGATGAGGATGAGCACGGTGAGCGTGTCGTCCGGCGGGTCGAGCCACACCACCTGCTCCACGGTGCAGTTGGAGAAAAAGTGCTTGTGTACGCGGATCATGTAGCCCTCCACCAGCGGGTTGGGCCAGTAGCAGTTGACGACGAGGGACTTTTCCTCCGTGCAGGAGGTGAAGAGGTGGTACTCTCTGGGGAGAGACAGAAAGGAGAATCAGGGGGTTTAGCACAGAGTCSAGGGTTTGGTTCACTTACTGGCAACACAAGCGTTTAAACTCCACTGTTGTTTAGCGAGAATTAACCTGAGCCTTTGAGATTTGGTAGGTAATCTGTCATCGTGACCGGATACGTTCTGCTACTTACTCCCTTTTTCAGCTCACTTGGAGCTGCAGCTTTTCAGGCTCCGAGCTCCGCTTTGATGAATACATTCAGCGAGTCCTAATCCTCCTTTCTCCATCCTGAGTGCTTTATCCTGAAACGCCAGCTTTACTTTCTTGACATCCAGGAGCTTTTATTTTCTAAGCTGAAGGGTAAACTGAGTAACAGCCTTACGGCACAGGGTCAGAACACTGTAATATTAAAAGTCGGGCTCTCCTCAAACAGAAATGACATACAGTCTGGTCAGTGATGTCACCAGGACAGATTTTGGTGCATGGTAAGGTTTGTATAGTCACGGCCGTTCATGGAGATCAAGGGTGTCCAATCAAGGCCCTTTAGGAGCMCTATTCTGCATGTTTTACTTGTTTCCCTGCTCAAACGCACCTGATTCAGGGATTGAATTACCTCCTCRGGATCTGCAGAAGTCCATTTATTAAAATCAGGTGTGTTAGAGCACAGAAACCCCTGGTGTAGACACTAACCACACTGATTTAAAAGTTTGGACTGACACAAGGAGCTCAACAAAATAAAACTCAACCTTTATTAAACCAAAATAAAAGGATGACTTGACAACAGAAACTTATGCCTGGTTTGCACGGCAAGACAACTGTGCCGATTTTTGATCCAATTTAGCCAATTTTAATGCTCCAATTATCATGATGGCTCTAAAAAATAACCTGAGGAGATATTCCTAAGAATGATCTATTTGGCTCAGAAGGAAGTCAGGACTGTTTCGAGCTCAAATCGAGGATATTCAACATGTTGGATTGTCTTGGCCCGATATCCCAGCGTGGACAAACAAGCTCACAGCCTGGTGAATGAGACATGCAGCCAATCAGAATGGAAACACAGAGGGGAAACTAAAATGCATAAAACAAAAAAAAAAAAAACTAACAAACTATTATATCTATGATTTTTATCATCATGTGGGGAGTYTCAGGTCTTGAAAAATCAACAAATAATTTTAAAATCTTGCCATGTGAACCAGGCATTACATTAACTGCTGATAAGAGGAAAAAGGAGAACCGGACATGGCATAAAGCACAATAATGAACTGATGGGTGAGGTCAAACTGAAGCACTATAAGGTCTAGGGCTAATGAGAAGAGTGGCTGCAGCTGTGACAGAAGAAAACAGGGATCKGGTGTAGACAGGCGTGGCATCTATTTTCTTTACCTGCTTCTTCGTGCGTTAATTACACTGCGGGAAGCAACCCTGGACAGGTCTCCAGACCATCACAGGGACACGGAGACAAACGAGACATTCACCCTCTTGCTCACACCAAGGGAACATTTAGTTACCAACAAGTTTTTTTAATATAAATTCTCCTATAGCCATGATTTGTTTTGCTCCCAGAGGTCACTGCACAGTATTCCTGATTGAGCTGCATGCTTTGATGTATTCTTAGTATGTGTTTTTTTTTTAGCAAATATGCAGTAAAAAGTAGCACATCAAAAAACAAGGCATAAATGGAAGGCTAACAGTTGAATAGTTATATGCTGCATGTTTTAGGTTCAACAATCATATAAGAGCTGATCAGTCTACAATGTGATTTATGGCTCTGCTTTGTTCTGTTGAAAGTGACAGCAGTGAGAGCGCTTGGATGATTGAATAAAATGRCAGATGACAAATATACCAGAGCTGTAAAACAGAACAAAATGCAGCACCAAAGAATAAATCGAGTCGTTGACTTATAAAGTTATTTCCCAGCTGTATTGAGCAGAAATAACACCTTTTCATAGGTTTGTGCTGACTTTCACAGAAACATACCGACATCAGCCACAAGCTTAATACAGAATTTAGAAAAACTGTTGCTCTTTTTTTTCTTTGTTGTTGCCTTTTGAACATTGTATATATCAGGATAATTATTTCTGCAGAATAAATAATCATATTTTAAAGTTTAAATGTTATGATTTACTGCACTCTCTGGGTCYAACCGTGGCAGAGAAACAATGATTTGAATTTTTTATTTTGCCTTAAGGATGCAGATTTGCTTTAAAAAGATGCAGAACCAACTGATTTAAGAATTAATTTTTACCTGCTGTTACCATCTTTTTAAATACTTTTTGAGTGTTATGTGTGTCTGTTAGGAGATGTGTTTTTATGTCTGTAATACTGGGATCGATTTTGTTGTGTTTTCTGTACGGTACTTATTGTTGATGAATCAGTCATGATGTCAGGCTGAACTTTTTCATACAACAAATCCTGATGGAACTCAAACATTTTTCATTATTGTCAGATTACATTTTGCTTTTGTAAGGAAACTCATTTAACTGTAAGATATGTGCAGAGGGGGAGTTTACTAAACCGAGTCTGTTTGAAAGGATTCGATTGATTTTTGAAGGGTTTATTTACGATTCCAGAACAATTTCATGATGAGGAAAACTAGAAAGCCATAACTCTAAAAAAACACACTAACATCCATTTTAAAACCAATCAAACAGGAACAGCTGTACTGGGTTAAACCTCCACAAAGGAAAATGTTTATGTTCCAGCAGATAGGATAATGCAGTCTGGGAATACACCAGAATTAGGTTTCACAGCAATAGATGTTTCCAAAAGCAATTAAAGCCGAAGCGATTACGTCTGCGTTTCAATTCAGGTCTCCGTTATCTGCGAGGAAAGTGAGTTCACAGGCAGAATAAAGTCTGAATACAAATTAGGAATAAACAAACAAATAAGAGTTGGACAGGAAAAACAAACAAACAAACCTGGTAATGTGTCAAAACCTTTACTGTCAGAATGTAGACAAATCCCAACCTCAGATGTRAACTATATGTGTTCTTTGCTTGGTTGATTGTCTGGAATTCAAAGCAAGACTATTTGTAGGACAACACCTCTAACCGTGATAAGCTCATGGAAACAACACCACGTGGTGTGATCATCACGCAGATACTGCATCCTGATGCAGTCCCAGAGAGTCGTGCCAAAGCACAGCTAAAGCTAATCCACTTTAGCCAACACAAAGGAACATATAACTCAGCCAGTTTTAGAGAAATTGAGCTCAAGTTTGGTTTGTAACCACTCCCAACTAACGATGTTCGATACTGTCAGATTTCTTTCCGATACTGATTCCGAGTMATCTCAGGCTGGTATCGGTGATACTGATCCGATACTGATACTTTGTGCCAACACACATAATGTTTCTGGTAAATATAAAAAGTAGCGTTTTTCAAATAACTGCTTTATAAATAGTACAAGACAGAGTCACTTATTTGTTCATTTAAAAGTCTTTCTAACCCTATTATATTTGTTTAGCATAATTTAAAATTGTACTGATGCATCTCAGTAATCCAGGTAGAAAAAAAATCTAAAATAAGTAGGTCCTCTGGATGGTTCTTCTTTAGTGAAACGTTTCGTCTCTCCTCCAAGAGACTTCTTCAGTCTGATGAGTTTCAGGTGAACTCAGCCTTAAAAGCTCCGCCTCCACATGGTGGACAAACAGGTTAGTCACATGCAAAAAAAGGGCCATTGCTTAAYAATAGGCTTGATTAGCTCTATTGTTCATAGAGGGTCATGTGCCCCATCACCTGACTTATTGGTTTGGATGCTGTGGTTCTTTGGTGTCGTGTTATGTGTATGTAGTGAATGCAGGCGGGGCTCAAAGTCCCCATGTTTTTGTTTTTTCCCTAAAAAACAAAACAGTATCAAACAGATGCCGCTCAACCAACCATCTCCCCTCCTAAAACAGAAACACAAAGATAAAAAGTGTGAAATCAATATCGGATATTAATATCGGTTCAGTTTCACATATCGGACCGATACCGATATTCTAAAAAATTGCCAATATCGGCCGATACCGATATCAGTACCGATATATCGTAAATCTCTAGTACAAAACTTAGATCCGATGTGAAGCCACAGTCTGAGGACATTTTCTGTCTTAAACATTTGTGGACCTACGCCACRGGCTAATGCCTTTTAGATGGATAGACAGGAACAATGTAGGGATATATAGGGCTGCACGATACAGGAAAAATACTGACATTAAGAGTTTATCAAGCTGAAGCAGAGACAAGAAGTTGTGCACAGACAGATGGATAGATGGAATGGCACCATACCATAACCCTACCCCTACAACTCTCCTCCCATGATGTCACTGCTGAAATGTCTTTAAAACTAAACCTGTTTGACTCCATTTCTTGGATTTACTACATTTATTCCCCTCAAAACAAAACGAGCATTTGTTAGATAAATGATAAAGTTGTTATCTAAGAGGGTGTTCCTTTTATTTTGTCAAACCCATGTATCATTACAGCCATGAGAYATTACAACTATTAATCCAGTCTAACTAATAAAGAAAAGCCACATCGTGCGAACATGCGCACACAAACAACACAACTTCAGAGTTTTCCCACAGTAAACCAGAGATGACTGCTGGCTCCACAGATGCTCTGCAGATGTTATGTTTACCTCATGATTCAACAGCGAGGGCTGCACCTTCTCATGTTAGGGACCGTCTTAGAAGTGCGTAACTTACAGAGGAAGCACAAATGGCAACAGAAAACTCACAATCTGTTGGAAGTGGGATGAAACCCCACAGAGGTTTTCTGCAGCCTTTATGCAGATGYAAACACAGACCAGCACAGACAGACAAACAACAAGCTGCTGAGGGCCTAATTCAAAGGTTAATTGATGCAAAAATCATTCTGTGAAGTTCAACACGATAAAAGCTCCACTGTACCAATTTATCTCCCATTGAACTTGAACAAAAAGTGTGTTAGACTCCTTTCACGCTGGATTAAAACCATGAGAGGCTCTTTAGGACCTGTTAAAATGTGGACAAGTCGYGACAAATTAGAAAACTTTCCATCAGTGTTGAAGGCAATCATCAGGCTGACACACTCTACTGCAGAGGTTCTTAACCTTTTTAACCTTGGTGCCCAATTTACTGAACATAAAGTGGCCCGAGGCCCAGTCACACATTACCACTGGATCAAAATGATAATTATTCTAAATCTTGGTTTAATTTTTATTGTATTGACATCATAACTAAACTATCATAACTAACATAACTAAATTAAATACACTTAGAGTTTAAAAGTAAAACTCCTGTCAAATAATCACAGGACATRATGATGACAAACATTTTATATTGTAACCTGCCCATAACTATTATTTGAAYAAATACAAAGGTCACTCAACAGACCACTCAGGCTTATCAGCGCAAATATATA